ATGTAAACAGAGTCAAAAAATAATTTTGGCCAATTTTTCAATATAAATATCTCACTGTGCATAAGTCGAATTTAAACATTTCAGTTTTTTTTGAACCATCTTCAGCGAAGTAAAGAATAATATTTGCATGATATATAATGATTTGCATGATTTTTGGAATGCTATTTCTTTCTTTACAGTTTAAAAAAAAGGCTGAAAGACTAAATATTCATCTATTTCATGCAAGCCACAACTTGCAGTAACAAAATGAAAAACTAATTTTCTTTTATGAAAAATCAAGATCACTTTAAATTTTTTAAACCCAAAAATTTCAAAGATTCAATTATCGATTTATTAAAGAGAAAATAATTAAGTTATAATTTTGAGTTCTTACATTGCAAGTTTGTTAAAAGTAATAGCATGTGATTCGAGATATAAGTAACTTTTCCTGAATTTATAAATATAAATTTAAAAAGAAAAATAATTAATGTAAAAATTAAGGCAAATAAGAATCAACGCTGTTTACAGTGCGCAATTAACACTCTTTATTACAAACTTTAATATATAATACAGACGTTTGGACTCAAGTTTGAGTTATCTTCAGTGAATATAAAAATAAAGATAAGATCTTGTGTTCATCTGATGAGCCCACCGATGATAAAATCGTTAATTAATAATTATTATGACCGTACATATATATGTCATCTTTAAAGAAAACAAGACAATGGTCATTAAGGGCTGTCAATTATCAAATGAACACAGTTCACACTAAAACGGAGAAAGCACGTGCAGGAGTGCGGCACAGTTCGCGCCGAGCAACACATCGCACAGCGCTTGAGCTTCAAGCAGTAGATGACTTTTTTAAATTTAATGCAATCAAAACAAAACCGAAATTACAGCTTGTTCAAGAAGAAAACGTATGCGTGATGCAAGAATTCAATATCAAACTGTGACTGTAACGAAATTTAGACTATTATTTTGTTTTTTAATAAAAAGCATTTCTGAAATCAGTGATTTCTGTAAATTTCATTCATATCGTTCCAGTCAACTTCGTGGTCGTAGTCTAATCTGTGCTCGGTAATGACTGAATGTGTATTTGTGTTTTTGCGTATATGATTTTGATGTTTATGCAGTCTTTTAATTGTCTCATAATTGTCCGACATAACACGCATCGCAATTGTTGCAGCAGATCTTGTATATTCTTGTTCATTCTTTTTGGAATGTGCTGGTAGAGCGTTTTAGCAAACTCTGATCATGTCTCTCAATTCATACTAAAGAACGTGGGTTTTGCGTTGAAATCATTAGCAATTTTTTTGAGTTTGGTCGCAATTCCTGGAACAAAAGGTAAAGTAAACCATTTTGTTTCTTATGATTTCATTGTTGTATTTGGCATGCTTAATCTATCATCTCATTCAAATAGAATTTTTAATCTGAATAAATATTGTCAAAGAATGTAATATTGTAAAGTTGAGAGGCTAATCGTTTATTAACAGAATAGTGATCACTAAATTTAAGTTTTTTTGATGATATTTCGGGTGAGATAATAAGAAAAACGTTCTATCGACGAATCTAGCAATAGTGCTTCTTTTTGGGCGAGAGAGTGCTAAGAGTGAAAATTGAGGTACTTTTCTGAGAATATAGATTTACGAAACCAATGTTTCAATGTTCCTATTAAAACTTTTAAAGTCAAATCGAGAAAATTTATCTCGCTCCCCCCATTTCAGCAATAAATATATAAATTGTAATCTAGGGTGATATGAGTTCAACCTTCCAAGAATTTTATCAATCAATTGGGAAGGAATGGCCTGCGATATCATCGGCATATCTATAAAAAGAAAACGGTAAATGGGCCTCAACACGAGCCCAAGCACGCTCTTTTCCAAATCTCTTAATATTAAATCAGTTATGATCGGTGACATGCTCCAAAGATTTGCTTGTAAATTACATTGTCAAAGATTGAATTTAGGACAAATGAGACTGCACTCAAAAATTTGTCCTTAGGGATGTCTTCCCAGTGTTTAGCAATATTGTCAATTGATAGATCAATAGAAACATAAGTAGTATGTGGCTTGCTATGGACCGTCAAAATAAACCCCTATCACTTTCCCACTGGCACCAAGGGCATGGCCTCCAGCTATCAAGATAGAGCCTCCACGTGGAAATGGAGCGTTCTGATTGGCTAAGGGGCGTGGCCGGAGATAATTAGGTAATTAGTGTTGCGTTCTGATTGGATTCTCCTATAGTTGCCCGGCGTGTGATTGGACGCTCCCATAGTTGCCCACGCGCGTGATTGGATGCTCCCACAGCTGCCCGGGGTGTGATTGATTGTCGAAATGCTAGACGTAAAGATAGGGGGAGGGAGTGAAAATGTGTCTGGGGCCGTTCGGGGTCCGACAAAATGACGTATGCAAAGATGGCGGACACCTGAGGAGAATTTGTTCCGGGGTCTGATCGGGGGTGCGATAAAATGGCGACAAGAAGGATGACGGTGTTAAAGGGGGATACCTGACCAGCGAAGAATGGAATGCGATGGGGAAAATAGGAAAAAGTTCACTTTAGATGTTTTAACGACCTCAGAGTTATACGAAGCTCTTATCCTATGACAAACACAATGTCTGCAAAATGTTTTAGATATATTTCTAGCTTGAAATAATGTAGCTAGGATTAATTTTAGGTTGGAGGAAAATAAGAGGACTGGAATTTAAGTTACAAAATCATTAAGTTTATTATTATTATTATGTAATAAATTATTGTACATATCATTTTATAATAGTGTTTTTTAATATTTACTTATTCTTAAAAGTACAAGTTTGTATATGACAGCACGTTATATGAGATTTATCGTATTTACTTTTTCCATGAAAAAAGATTTTATGAAATAATGTACAATTAATCTATCATTATCTTCGTAAATTCGCTGAATGTTTCGAGAAATTGTTTAAGATTATAACCACGGGACAAATAATAAAGAAATACGCAGCAATATTGTCCACAAGTCTGAGAAAATGTGCCCTGTAGACGCATGATGTTCCATCTGGGTAGTAGAGTTTCGTTGAAGTCGTAGATTGAATCTGGAATGCAAGAGAGATAATCCGCAACTACCGAAATAAGTGCCTTCTCCATGCTTGTCTATGTAGAAGGCAACCCAGTGTTGTCCAGGGCGATCGTGATTATCGGTGTTCACGATGATGGCCGTCGACTTCGTCCACCATCGGGATTCTGTCGGCAGGATACACATCCGCATGTCCGACACTGAGATGACGCAACGCCCGTAAGATTTCGAGCAAATTTATTTCTCGTAGAAAGGGGAGACGAGTTATTTCCCCTCTCTCTGGTGTCGCTATATTTTTATCCTCTTGCTTGGATTTTACGGTAGAAGTCTCCTTTTTTCATGTGCGAGTTTGGATAGCTCTTCTTTCTCCGCTTTCATTTGTTCGCATTCCGCTTGTTCTGTTTCCATCTCTTACTTCTCCACCTAAGGAGATTCGGAAAATTTCGTTTTATCGTAAAAACTCCGCTTTCTGTATTGGAGTCATTGAAGCTTTCATCGGTAAAAGAATCATTGTTGCTCGAATCACAGCTGTCTTCTTGCGATTGCATTCAGTACCTCAGTTTGCACGTATTGCGTAACGCACAACGAAATTTGTTAGAATTTCGATGAAATCCATAATGACCGCAGCGTAATTCATGTTCCTCATCTTCCACTAGGTTTTTGAATGCGGGAGAGATTCCTTCTAGATTATATACGTTTCTGCCAAGCGTCTTTTGCAAATAAAGTACTTTCTCACGGCCTTTGCTATATATGTGACGTACCCGTCGTACAATTTCATGTAATTCCACCGTGAAATGTTCGGAATCGGCTGTTCCGTCAATCCATTCGATACCATGCAAGTTTTGCGAGAGCCAGTTTCTTTTCTCGATTTTTCGGGTAATTCGGTGAACGGATACGGTGGCAGCACAATCCAATGATCTACGAAAGTTTCGTTAATCCCGATGACACAACTTCCTTCGATAAAACTTTCCCTCGATGTCACGGAAATCTTGTATATCGATTATATCCATGATGTAGAATATGCTATTCTTTGGAACGGCGTAGTTGTGTCGAGTAAAACTGAAGCTGTTTTCCGTTATAATTCGAGTAAATATAAAGAGTGACCACAATGGGGGTGAGGTTTCCCACCATTGTCTTTATCCGTTAAAATCTACAATGACTTGACGCGAAGAGTCGATTTCCATCACGTTTTCGAACTCTGCGTAAAGGATACAATTAATCGTTGTTGTAATCGCTTTTTCGAATCGTACCTCTAATCATAAACTTCCATGTCTGAGAAGATTTCAATGTCCTGCGCAATTTGCCGATAGATCGGGAGTGAGATCGAAAGTGAAAAGCATGAATCCATCGGCATAATCTTCTCTGCTTATGGAATTCCCCTCGTTTAGAAAATGGATGCCAGTTCCCGAGAAGAGAGTGTTATAAGCCTCGATGTAGAGCGGCTCGTCTTTTGAAAAATTTGGTTGCAGCGGTCTGCTCAGAATTTGCACGCCATCGGCATATAACGAGAAGAAATTTATATTTATTTATATATATAGTAATTTTTGAAATTAAATGGATTTAGCTTTCTATCGCCGTGAAACGCTTTGTTATCGATGAATCCGACTATTACGCGTTTTGGAAGTTGGCCGAGTATCGCGTTATCAATCGATTCTCCTACCACTTCTGCGTGAATCGTGAACGTTTTAACTTCGACTCGTGTCAGAGGATACTTGGCGATTGTTTTACTCAACATTCTCACATGATCGAGTAACACTCCGGGCTTATTTTTGCTCTTCTTATGAGCAAACTAGCATCTAGAATACATATTTTCGACGTTGAGTTGGCTTCCATGAGACAAAACGCATCTTTCAAGCGAACGAGTCTCATTCTAACCTCTACCCATTAATTAAAAATTTATCCTGTTTAAAGACGTCACAATGAAGATGGCCTATTAGATCCAGCGAACGTCCTCCTCGTCCATATGACCGGGCTCGTCCGTATCCCAGAGAGAAGAAGTCAGATGGGAAGTTTTTGGTGAAGAATAATTTAACAATGCTTCGATGTACGCGCGGTACGCGTAGGCGTTGCTCGGGGATGATACGAGTTTTTGATTAAAGTACACATCGATCTGATTGAACATCGAACATAGTAGATGATTTACAGGACCTACTTTGGTTCCTCCTGCTTCTGTTCCAGGGCCGGGTAAACTTTCCTCGTACGCGAAGGCTTAGCATAGTATGCGTGAGATCTAGATAATCTTCTCCGTGTCCGGGTACGACGAATTCTATAGGTCGTCCGCGAGCGAAGTTACCGATGTAATAAATCCATTGTGAATTCTCGATACTCGTTTGAATAGGCGGTAAATTGAAAAGAACTCGCTCTTTAAACACTCGCTCAAGCGAGTATGGAGAAAAGACATATTTCTCAAACTTCTTACGATTCATACTCGCGTCAGTTAAGCGAATATATCGGATACGATGCGCTTTTTTCCCACTATTTCATCGATATTTCGCCGGCTTTTTAGTTTTTTTCGCCGCTGCTTTCTTTTTCGATGATTTTTTATTCGTTTTTTTCACGCCGAATTTCGACGATTTCTTTTTTTTTTACCGACTCGTCTACGTTTACGAACAGAACTTTTCCCGGATTTACCGGTGCGTGCGTCGTGCCCTCCAAAGAGAAACTGAGCCACGCTCATTTTTGCGCATGTTTTATATCCCGATCCCTTCATTAATTCGTTTATATTTTCTCTGCCTTTTCTCTTGAGATTTCTACCCGATTCCTTGAGTCGCGTTTTGAGAGCTTCCTTCCGAACGGAGGAAGCTCATTGTTTTCAACATCTTCTATCACGCCAATTCCGGCGCGTAAAGCTTCTTTCCCGAGTGCACGTATTTCCCTGCTTAGATAAGGAAGGCTCTTCTAAATAATCCTCCGAGGAAACTCCCGATTCCGTGACCACGTTGATAGGGTGAACCGACGAAAATTCAAGAAATTCCTCCTCCCCTATTTCCACCGTTCTGTCTTTCGTAATACTCGTCGTATTCCATGGGGTGATTAGTTTTTTCTCAAAGCTCCGAGACTTCCCACCGCAAATGGTAATTAACGGACACGTCTAAAGTGTAATGTCGCTATCAGCGTTCCGCATTCGAATGGTATATTTTCTCCACGATGATCTTTTATATCTATTTCAATTTTACGGAATTTCGTTTGACGCAATGAGTATATTGCAAAGTGGGGAAATATTTTACCAGATTCATCCCGTACGTGTAATTACAGTCGGGTGTATTGAAACGATTCGAAG